TGTGTGTGTGTGTGTGTGTGTGTGTGTGTGTGTGTGTGTGTGTGTGTGTGTGTGTGTGTGTCTTACGTGGTGAACAGTTTGAGCTTGGATTCGATGCTCCGGTGTCTCATACACATCCTGGTTAGAGCCGAGCCGATCTCTTTTGTGGCGCCTGTGAAGATCAGAAAAGTTTTATTAAAACAAGCACAAAAAGGTGATTTTTTCCTCACATTTAGGTTTATAAACTTATATTTATGTCTAAATCTACAATAACTGACTCTTAAACTGTTTATWTGAGCTGCTCACAGCTGAGACCTGAACCAGAATCTCTGCATTAAAACTGCAAAATAAATTTAAAAAGATGTTTGTTTATCCATCAAAAGGAGCATTAATCGACCTGATTAAAATCTTATAACGAGYCAGTTGGAAAAGTGCACGCAGGCTCATGTGTCTCGTTCAGTAATAAATTATGCAAGATGACATTATTTCACAACCGGCTCAGGTTGACTCAGCAGCATCGGGTCTCACATAGATGATCCATATCACTAAAGTAACGGGGAGGTAATAAAATACGCTGAAAGGCACCACTTCCACGTAAAAACAAWGGATTGTGTGTTCAGAAAAAAAACACTGGAACGAGTTTGACACAAGTGATTTGAAGGAATGAGTGATTAACAGAGAAGGGAAACAACTAAAACGTGCAGGACGTTGGTTCTCCAGGACCAGAACCAGGAGAGGTTTCGAAACATCCGCTGTGATCAAACTGTCAGCAGATTTTCAGTGACTCATCTCACATCGTTTGAATATCTAAATGGAAAAGCTTGGTGAAGAAACAGGAAGTTACAGAGTCTGAATCAGAGCTCACGTGTCTAAAACAAAAGACACTCCTCTCCTGAGGGGAGGAYTATTTGTTTATTCAGCAGAATTAAAACCAACAGGAGTGAGGAGATAACCTGTTCAGGTATTCACTCAGTCAGTTTGAGCTCCATTTATTTTCTGTCACCTCCATTTTAATCAGTCTTGATTTGTCTCCACTCCATCCTGCTTCAGTCCTGATAGTTTGTTTTTTTTTAAAATGAGTACAAGTACTTCAGTTTGGGTGCTTGCTTACACTGAGTACTACTAATACAGAAGTTACAGGGGTGCAACAATCCATGTATCTGTATGAACCTGTCCAAAACACACTATGTATGGATCAACACACACACTGTGTATGGAACAACACACACACTGTGTATGGAACAACACACACACTGTGTATGGAACAACACACACACTGTGTATGGAACAACACACACACTGTGTATG